GATGGACAAGTGATAGTGATAGGATTGAGAAGATCCACCTCGCTGGTTGGAGGGAACTTGTGGTGACCAGTGCAACGACAGTTCTTTTCCCATGGGGTGTGCCCGCAAATAGCCTTGAAATAGGAACATGGACAAAAGACGGATATTTTCACGGCAGGGTTTGCATCGCCCTGCCGTGAAAATTCCACTGGTCAGAGGTGGCCTCAAATTCTGCGCTCAAGCTTTCGCATGCACCATCCTTAGTCCTTGACCCATTGTGACGAGAACCCTCATCCCAGCCACGTGCAGACCAGTCAGGCATGGAGAGTGGCATGGCGGAGTGCTTCGGCCCCATTGCCGAGAAGAACGGCCTCGTGTGGACTGAGTTTGCCAAAGCCATGAAGATGCTTGGCCTACCCTGGCCCTGGACCCCAGTTTAGGTCATTGAGCACCCACATTCTAGGGTGAAAATCACCCACCTGCTTCATACTACAGATAGGAGATAGGACGATGTTTACAAAGCTTAGATATTCCTTTGGCTGGACGAGCGCAGGACGAAGACAAGAGCAGAAGATATTGCTGTCTTACCTTCTTACTATTACCATCGCACGCACTGCAAACCCCAAAGCAAGGCCTTCGTTGCTTATGGTAAAAGTTTCATACATGTTTATGCTGGCAACGACCGGGACAATGGACTCTGTAGACTGGACCAGATGAGAACGTTCTTCTTGGCACATGAGTACTACAGACTTTCACCGATTGACAGTTTGCCGCGCAATCCAGACAACCTACTTTCTGAAATGTAGACGTGGATGATGGCATAGTGTTGTCACCTCATCCTAAGCAAATGGATGCACATGGGGTATCATGGGGTATGATACTGGTTTATGCATTCTGGCCGCATCTGGCCGCCCAGATCACCCCCGGATGAGGGTCCTGTGATGTGCGGCGTCTCCGCGTTGGGCCCTAAAGACTGTCGCCAGGGAACATGAGCAACATGTGTTTGACGCTTTTTCCCCATGCCCCATGTACAGTTTTTCACTTTTTTCTTTTTAATCAAATCTTGTCTTGTCTATATATATATATACTTGCCTTGTTCTATCTTGTTCTATTTTGTTTTAGTGTTCTTGACTTTTTTCTATCTCGTCTCCAAATATTTCCATTCTTTTAGTCTACTTGTTCTCTTCCCACTCTGCTTGGGATGTACCATGGTGTGTTCATGTGTATTCATGTGTATTCTAGCCGTGGGCCATAAGCCTTTTCCATTGCTGGATGCGGAAAGAAACATGTACTCGCCGTACTTTGAAGTGGACAGGGGCAGAAGGAACCGATGGAGTTCCATGTTTCAAAGCAACTGCTGCAATTGTAGAATCTTGATTGTTTAACCCTGTTTGGATTGTAACACCCCTTCATTGATATGGGGGTTTATACCTGAGGCGACTTGGATGCCCACACTTGTAAGGATCCTTAGGATGTCACGGCTCCCCAGGAAGGCCGACCGGTACCATGTGGAGGTCTACTGAGCCTCCGCAGAGCGACCGTGAGCGAAGTCGACTGGGCAGCGTCTTCTGAAACATGGCGGGAGCCAGTTGAGTGTCTTGTTGGGACCAGCTGAGTGTCTTCTTGTTGGGGTAGTGTCTTCTGAGCCTTCTATTCTTGTTGGGAAGTGAAGTCATCATGCGACCGCTGCCTACATGCCGAGGTAGGATTGTATCCTCGAAAGGGCTCTTGTGGTGAACAGTCCAATCATGTTGTCGAACAACAGCATGTTACCAATTCAGCTGCCACTCCTATACAGTTGTGTCAATATATGAGCTGGATTCCCACAGTGCATGGGAGTGGCATGGGAAGCCTGCTCACTTAGCTTGTGGGCATGGGTGTTCAGTGGAATAACGACATGATCAATATGAGTTCCTGAGTTTGAGGTTGTTTTGGTCAAAGCTGCTCCAAGTCGCACCTTGCTTACAGTAGTCACACTCTGGAGGTGGATCTGCTGGGCCACGCCCCTTTGGAATGGATCTGCTGGGCCGCTAGCTGACGGCGGCCGATTTTCCTTGATGTTCCCATCAGTGGAACAAACTTCGAGCGGACAAGCTCTGTGAAAAGGACTCTTGAAGCTGTGACTTGTCACTAGCGCATTGGTTGGGAACATGCTCCCGATTCCCGATTCCCAGTGCCCTGAAGTTCATATAGCTGATTCTGCTGGTTCTCCACCCCGCGAAGCTGGCGAGAATCCAAGTCGCAAGATTAGGTAGTCTGCCACATGCAACAAGGGTGTATCGAATCACGTGGGTTGTTTGAGTGGAGGCTGGTTGAGGACTGGAAGTTGGGCTGTTCCACAAAGCTGATGGATTTGCTTGGAGGCTGTGTGCTCTACAAGCCAAGAGCTTAAACATGCTTAAAGGTTGTCGAGCAAACAGCCTTCCATTAAGAAGAAGAGTATCCACTCTTTGAGGTTTCAATGTTCTCCGACGCGCGGCCTTCATGTGTGAACACATCCAATCACTTGCTCAGGCAGCTGCTTCATATTGCTTCTCCAAATTGTGAATGCTCAGCTGAATCGTCCTGGGTGCGCCCAGAACGAGAAGCATGCACCAGCCTTCCCAGTCGCCCTTGCAACGTGCATCATATATGTGCGTGGTGCTCTTGAAGGACATGCCAACATAGCAAACCGGTGATGACAAGCCCCACTTCCATGATCATTTCAAGGAGTGTGCAATCATGTCTCCAAAATAAACCACCTGTTGATGGCTCCGAGCAGCTCTTCTTGGGTCACGGGCTGCGAAGGGATCCACTCTGACTGGCCACTGGGTGTTGTTGTTCCTTCCCGCCACTGGGTTTAGGCCGCTGCCCGTCGGACCAACGACACCCGGGAAGAGTCATGGAACCTGAAATTGGGACCTTTGGAAGACCATTTTTCCTCTACAGCCCAGAGAGTGGTTTTCGGGTTCCATGGCGTCCATGGCCCCGCCGGGGCTGGAGGGGCCATCCAAAGTGGTTTGGCTCCCCGGGAATGCGACCGGAACTCGGGAAAGCAGGTACGGGTAAAGCGGGCTGAGCCAGGCTGAGCTGTGCTGTGAGGGGTTTTGGGAACATGGAGAGGTGGTAGTTCGAGAACAAGATAGTACAAGGAACTGATGCTTTTCACTTTTTGGAGAAAGCAAGCTCTCTGGGTTATTTGTTCCCTCAGCAGCGAGCCAGTGGTATTCGTACTAGTTCCATTGGGGCAACCCGGAAGATGTCACAGGGTTTCACCGAAAGTTGTGGCTATCCAACTTCGAAGCCGTTCAGAGCTGCAGGGAGTTTCCGAGTCACCGAAGGCTCGTCAAGGACGTTTTTCACCGTGCGTCGGGGTGATACGCTTCCTTTTCGTGCCGTTGGGCTCTTCAAAACGGTGCCCGGCTTGGGCTCGGGTCGGAAGGGTGTTCGGCGGCAGCGTTCTTTTCCACTGCTGGAGGCTTAGTGTTTCTGAGGCGGATGTTTTCGTTGGATGAGATGTCGTTCGTTCGGGCACATGGTCGTTCGTCCCTACTGCTGCCCTCCAACGTAGGTGCAACTGGTGAAGTCAGTTTTGTTGACTGCAACTGTACTTGTCTTGGACGTTTCAACGCCTAAGCCTAGGCCCAAGCCCTTGGCATCTCCTTCCTACTCCTTCCTCAAGCCAATGTACAGACTTTGGCGCAGGAAGCCGTCAGTACTCAGTACTGTACATGAACCGATTGCCTTAGCCGGGGGCGGCTGAGGCTCAGCATGCGCTAGGCTGCGAGGCGGCGCTAGGCCAGCACCGTGCCCGTGATTGACCACATCAAAGCATCATAAGACATCCTGTGGGCAGGTGCTGCTCAAGGGTACTGATGATCTACTCAAAAAAGATAAAAAGACTCGCAAAAGACAAGAACAGGTCACGTTTTGGAGGTGTAGCCGGTGTAGTTCTTGATGTGAATACTTACTTGCCCTGGACTGAGCAGGTCCTAATCAGGGCAGTTGGAGAAGCTACTACCACTGGAGTGATGTCCAACCTGCGAGTTGCCGAACATCGGGTTGCCCGGCCGAGACAGCTCGGAACTTTCGGTGAGGCCATCCCCATGTGGGGTGCCACAAGCACAGCGCAGATCAGCTGGGAAGCTGAGAGCAGAGCGGAGAGTGTTCACATCAAACAATTGCAGTTTTTATTGCAGTGTTTCTTCAAAGAACGGCACCGGTATGCATCCAGTGATGTGCCCGACATACCTATATAGGAATAGGCGAGGCGGTTCTTGTTTTTCCAAGGATGGGGAATGTAGGGAGATTCAGTTGTTGGAAGATTAGCTAGCAGCTCTGACGTCCCTTTGTTGATGTAGCAGCATGCACCAGAAGTCACAAAGGTCCCTAAGTGATCTAAGTGAGTTGTTTTTGTTCCCCATGGTTTTCTACCAAATCTATCCAAATCTCGTGCAGCAGCCATTTTCCAGGTGGTGTGATACGTTTCTTTTCCGACACCGCCGTGTTTGAAGTCGAAAATCTTGGACACCGCTCCTCACTGAATCCATCCTCTTTGGCCACTTGGGGTATCCAGGGTCGGGCAGGCCGGGGGCCGAGAAAACTCGTGGCCAGGCCCAAGCAGTTGCGAGTCCAACAGTCCAGGCCACGGGCGCGTTGAACTCGACCGTCAGACTCGCGCTGGGCGTCGGTCGCTTGCTGCCGTCAGGTTGGAAGGTCACACGCACCAGTTATGCCATGCCGGGAGAGGCGGGTCGTGCCCGTTTCGTCCGGACACCGGGCCGCGTTGGTGCGTTGTTCGGACCACGCGCCGGTCGACGGTCGTGGATGGGACCGGAGTCTGGGGATCATCCGATTCGTAGGATTCGGTATCATCTCACCACAAAACCCATACTCTGGAAAAATTGTAGAATCTATATTGTACATACTATACATAACATATGTATATATTTTTAATTAATTACATAGATATATTTATCATATATATTATACCGGTAACAGTACTATGGTTTCCGCTCCCTTTCGGTGTGAGCGACGTCATGACTCACTCGAAGAGGTCCGGCATTGAGTTTCGATCCATCGGTCGACCCTACATTCTGGCTACAGCTAGGGTGTGTCCCACCTCTAACAGTCGGCCAAAGATTATCACTATTCGAGTCAGGTCTTTAGTATTCCATCATCGATCATCATGCACTGTGGCAGGGAATGAGATATACCTAAGCTACGGCTGTCTCATCAGCTCAGGTTTCGGCCGGGCAACGCTTGAGGCGCCAACTGAGGCGGGGGGCATCCCCGGAGACCGAACGAGGAGCAAGGGGCAAGTTGGGACTCCTGCGGAGAACCCCAAATGTCTACCCAGTCTGCGGGGAACCTGCCACCATTTTTGCAGGACTTGGGGGATTTGGAACCCGCCCTGCTACGCCAAACGAGGTGGACAGTAGCTGGCCTGTTTGGGGAAAAAGGTGAAATGTGCGTTGTGTTCGGACACCCAACCATGTCTTTTCTATAGGAATTTGTCTCGGCTGCATGGAAGAGACCAGAGAGAGACCAGTGGGGGCTGCCGGTTTGCGGTTTCTGCGGCCGCTCCGAAGACCAGGGCGGCGCAGCAACATTCAGAGGCGATGCGAAGAGATGCTGCGGCCACCTGAGCGGATGCACCTCTGACAGTCCGGCCGATGGGGTGAGAGAAGGAACACGAGGACTCGTGGGGCCTTGAAACCGATCTCGTTTGAGTTTGGATTTGTTTCTTGGACTTTTGCCACATATAGAGATAGGTGAGGATATTTGAGGGCAGTCAACTTCAGTTGGTGAACCGAAGAACTTTTGTTGCTTCTCATCGCATTCTGGCCGAGCAGGCGCTTTGTGCCTTGATGTGGTATGGTTACCTTGGCTCGAACTCAGCCTGAAAGAGTTTGAGCCGGACATGGTTGGCGGACAACAAGAATCACGCAGATAGATGCCGGTGGTCAGCCTAGTTTGCCGAGTGCTCGCCGCGTGTCTTAGGCCCCATAAGTAGATTCATGTATAGTTCAAAATGATTCAGTGAGTGTTTCAGGCTTTCAGGGATTGTTCTCGGTTGGGGTTAGTTGTGTGATGTACTTCGCTAGCCTTTCCAGCCTGCATGTTCTGATCTGAGTCACATCTAGCCACTATCGGCACATCTATGGATATCTATGGTCACTAGATCTGTATTGAACTGATCCCCCCCAACCCAACAGCAGTCCTAGACTTGGACTGTTACCCTGGCATAAACCCTCCTGGATTCATCCTACACCTCGCAACCCACGCACTGCCGGACCGAGCCATGCCTCTGGGATGGCCACAGCTGTGCGAAGCACCGGCGCTGGCCTCGCACTGCGCCTCGCGCTGCGCCTCGTAGCCGTGTGCCTGGCAGCTGTTTCGGCAGAGGCAGGAACAGGGTGTGGGGCTGCTGCTAGTAGTCACAGGTAGAGGATGAACGAAGTGAACACTTTATTTTAAATACAAAGAATTACATAGTGCAAACCAATCCTGAAAGTGCCGCAGCTGCCGCAACGTGAGAGATTGCGGATCGCAGCTGCTGGTTCATCCACCCGGGTTGACCGGATCGCAACTCCAATGCAACTTGAAAGAAGGACACTTGAATCCCTGACAGAACAACATCTCTGGGATTCTGGGCCGCCTGAAAAAGCAGACCTGGTGCTGATAGCGGTGACGGGTCTACCGGTGTTTGTTCTTCTTCCCCCCCCCCCACCTTCCCGGTCCTGGCGTCCTGGCTTCTCCCACTCGTGGGCACCGGGAGCCGAGCGGCCCCAGCGGTCGCAGGATCTGCCGCTGCCATGGCACTTCGCCGACACGCTGAACTCCTCGCCGCGATGGCTGGACCGGTCGAAAGTCGGTGGGTTCGGTCGGGGGTTCGGTCGGGGGGGTGTCGGGGGGGGTGTCGGGGAGCGCCAAGTGAGCCAATCGCTCCCAGCAAACGAGTGGTGGAAGCCCAGGCGAGATGAAGAGATGCATGACTGATAGTATGAGTGTTTTCTATTGATTTCTATGACTCAATGAGAAGAGATGAAAAGAGGAAGAGGTTGAGTATTTTTATGTATTTTTCAGACTGATCAGTTGGGCCCATCACCTCTGAGACTCGATCCTCATGTGTTCCAAACAACCAGGGCCCATTGCATCACTGCTCGCCCTTAGGTCATGGTTTCATCATCTTTCATCAGTTCCATGTGCCCTTCCCTGAGCCTCAGGAAGGCTAAACCTAACCTGACATGACATAGGTCCTGGCATGTTTCCACCTTCAACCGAGTTCAGATGCATTCGCCACATGGCCCACGGAGTTCCACGCTTCCATGGGGATTCTGGGGACTCCGGGGATGTCTTGGGTGAGTGCCAGGAGGCTTCGCCCCTGCCTTCTTAGAGGGTATGCATATGGATCCGAGGATTATAGTTATGATGATATATCATCAGGATTTTTCGGTATTTATACTACAGGATATACAGATCAAAGTAGATTAGGAGGTATGTGGATTTGGATTCATCCCTTCAGAGCCATGCTTTTCTCAAGTGTTGCGCCATGGTCTTCATGCGTTTCTTGCGTTTTCGAGTGCTCGTCATGGCCATCACGGTCTGGGCTGTCATCGTCGCAGAGGATGAGACCACAAACCACTACCAGGCTCAATGATGTGTATTCACAAATTCAAGCACATCTGCATAGCAACATAAGTGGGTTTGGAAGATGATATGTCTCGAGTAATTATGGCGTCATTTCCGCACCAGGAGTTCGTTGCCAATTCTAAAACGCCCAAGAACCACCGAGGTGCTCCAAGAACCTCCTGCAGAGCAGCGGCTTGGGGTCATGTACCTTTTTCCACATGCCAACGGTGGACATCCGGCTCTGGAGTCCCAGCAGACCCTGAACCACTTCGCAGAGCTGGGGATTTTAGACACGATGCGATCGTGCAACCAGAACTCTACCCGATTGATACACCAAGAACTTTGCAAGTTGCGACGCGATGAGAATCTGAGCACAATTTTTGTGCCAGCTCACTTGATGCAACATCTGGCGGAGGATGGCTGCTTTCGATCCAGCTGGCAAGATCGCTACATCAAGCATTTGGATCGGAGCAACATTGATTGGCGAAAGGTCGACACGGACTGCAATGCTGAGCTGGTCAAAGGGGGGCAGGCCAAAGCTTTATATGGATATCAGCGGCTGAGCTGGTCCAAGAATGATAGCAACGCTTTTGTTTTGTCAGGTTCTCCCTCCTTCAATAGCCCCGTGCAATTTCCATAAATTTCCCAAATCTTCAATTTTATCAATGTCCAGCCTTCAATCTGTTCACACTTCTTTTCCCGAACTGACTGTGCCCGCAGTCAGCCACTTCTTGCCAAACTCTAAGCCAACATGTCGGCACATGCTTCGTTCTTCCTTCGTCATGTCAACTTCGCTTGAGGCTCCCGAATCCCTACGGTCTCTTCTCCCTGCAGCATCGCGACACCGTGCGCATTTGCCCCCTCGAGGTGCAGATGCTGCGCGGCGCGACCCCTTGGGACCAAGACCGCGCGGACGAGGCCTTCCGCGACTGTGAGGGCTCGAACTGCGCGGAGCTGCAGGTGGGGGAGACATGGAGGTCGAGCTAGTGAAGATACCCTGCTTGGGTATGTTTTTTTGGTAGTGTATATGACTCGGATGCACATGTATGCCTAGGGCCCAAAACCCTCCCGTTAACTCGCCTGCCAATTTTGCGTGCAGTTAACGCTTTCTCATGAAGCTACTCATGGCTCATGCACACAAGCAGAATCGTTTGAAAATGGGCACATGTCACATCATTTCACCATAATATATAAAGGACACATTTTGTCCACCAGAACCAGCAAGGGATACCCTTTCTTGGGTGCCACAGTGTGCAAACACATCGCATTAAAACTTAAAACTGCGCTTGGCATGTGTCTGAGCGTGGCCCTAGCTCATTCCACAGGCACCCAACCTTGCCTTGATTTCCCCGTCGTTGTTCTTTAGCACCATGCAGCTTCGCCTTTCACTGCAGGACCTTCGCCAAGAGATCTATCGCAAACGGCGCGCTTCGGTGGTGGAGCGTCTAGCGAGCTGGTTTGACTCCAATCCCCATTCGGTGGTTGGGATGCTGCACTCGCAGTTTGTGAGCATGGACGCCTGGCCTGAGGGCATAGCAGTTCGAAAGTTCAGGCCAACGATGCAATTAGAAGAGGCATGCACAGCTCTCGCCCAGGAGCGCTTTTGGGCCTTTGGGCCGTGCACTGACTTCCTTGCGGTGAAGCTTCATTTCCTCCACAGAAGTTCGGTTCTAGAATGCCATAAGGTGCAATGCATTGCAAGATATTGCAAGGATAATTATGTGCCATAAGTCAAGTGGGAGGTGTTATTTTGGAGGAGGCTTGTTCGTCGACATGCACAGGACGAGGAGTCCCGGACACCTAACCGAAGCATGGTCACCCTTATGTTATCCTAAATGATCCTAAACGTATTGATGTTTGGAAGCACAGGGCTTACAATCCCAAAACCCATCTCGTTTGGAAGTTTGTGACCACCCCGCTTGGAAGGAGAGCAAGAAAGGTTTGAAGAGGAACGAGCTGTAGATCACGGCCGGCACGGACATGTCATCCGCCTGCGCCACCTGCGACCGCATGCGACCGCGAACCCGCCTGCGAATCCGCGGCGACTCGACCTGGTGATAGCCTCGACGGAGGAGGCCGTTGAATGCACCGGGCCCTGGGCTCGACTTGAGACGTGTGAAGACGAAGCAAGGATCAGTGGAAGAGCCGAAAAAGGACCGACAAAAGGGGCTGCGATGCTCCGAAGGGTGTTTCAACGAAGATGGCGGACAGTTGGCAAGACCTGCAGGGAAAGAATTGACACGCCGCTTATGAGGTGAACACCAGACATGGAACACAGGTGGTTACCGGCACCGTAAGTTCTGATTCTGACTCTCCAGCGGGGACCTGTTTGGGGCAGTAGGCCTCTTTTGGCTGGACAAGCTCGACAGTCGGCCGTTCCAGGAGTGCCAGCCGCCAAACTTACGATGACCTGCATTAAAAACTATAGCATACTATAGCCTTAGAACATCTTAGAACCATGCGTTCCAAGCACATCCCAGCACCCCAACAAACCATTCCAAGAGCCTATGCCCCGTCCATGCCCTACCCGTGGAGACTTGCGGTGGCCCAGGCTCCATGCGAAGTTCTTTGTGCTGCGGCCGCCCCGCGAGCTCCGGCGCCTGCAGGGCCAAGACTTCGAGCTGGGGTCCCGAGCCCGCGGCCTCCTCATCACTTCTGGGGGACGAGCTGTTCAAGATGCTTGAAACATCTTGAACACCTATATCCATCCTATACCCAAACATGGAATATATATACAATGTTATAACGTTGAACCTGCCAGTCCCATTGTATAGTCGTGCCTAGGTATTTGTTCTTTTTCGACAAGCTGTGTCATCACCTGATGGCAGTGAAAAGAGAGAGAGAGAGAGAGAGAAATAGAGAGAGAGAGAGAGATAGGTTTAAAGTGACCGACTCACTTGAAGTTCAAGTTGCAGTTTGCATTTCTGCATTTTTGATTTATTTTGGTATGATTTGGTAGGCATTATACTCTTTTCTTGCGAGATGAGCTGGTCAGCTTGAATGCGCTAGGATGGCTGCAGACAACAGGACCAACGAAAAGCCAACCAGGACATGCAGAAATAGTATGAAATAGCATCCGTGTTTGTCTAAAACATCCCAAAACCATGCAATCTAGGTGCGGGAAATGGCCACTTGAGTCAAGGACATGAGGGGTAGTACACACAGAGAAAATCGCTGTCCAACCAGTCTTCGGAGGGGAACCCTACGAATCGTTTAGCCATGGTTTTAGGTTCAAACACCCCCAAACACCCCTCCATCGTGCATCGTCGAAAGGCGGTGACCGGTCTGTCGGCGACATGCGGTCGGTCGTCGTCGGTCCGCTGGTCGTCCCGAACGGCTTCGGCTTCTCGGGATGGGCACCCCGAACGGCAGGTGCGAATACTTTGGGCACATGCCACCTGGCAGGGATGCGGGTTTTGGCGCCCAGTGCAAAGTGGATAGTGGATAGCTCTTTCATGCTATTTCCTATATTTTTTCATTGATTGAGGGAGTGAGTTAGAAGTGATTATTTGTTAAGGACACATTTGGGAGCAGTCACCATTTTCCAGCGGGCTAGTTTGCTCACATTTGGTGCCGCGCCATGCTCACAATCACCTCGCCAAGACTGTTGGGCACCCCACATAGTGTTTTTGCTTGTAACTGAACCCCGTCCGTGCTTTGCGTGCCCCTATAAGGAAGCCACAGTTCTCCAGTTGACACCCCAAAAAGCATGCTGGAAAGCCAAGCCTATCCAAGCCTTCTGACAGGTATAGCTTTGAATTCATGTACCCGGACTTCTTTGATGCTAGGCATGCAATGAGCCCCGGGAGTTGCCAGGCTATATGCAGACAACCCAAGTAGATAGAAAGTTGCCAAATCATGACAAAGCTGCAGCAGCTTGAGGAACAACTTCGCCTCTTCTGCCAATGATGGTTCCACATGTCTCAGTATTGGCACCCAAAAGTCCACTGAAAATCATTCCAATTCTTCTGACGGGGGTCTCAAAGACGGGCATGAACCTCCACCCATTTGGTCTGTTCGAGGTGAAGATGTTCTGACACAAATGCACGACAGATCACGACAGTTTGATTTGTGGAGTTGGAGGTGTTGGCCATGGTTGGCACCAGTGCCAAGAAGACCCAGCGTCGAAACAAAGGCCGAAGGCTTGAGCAGGGGCGGCAATTCCTCGCAGCCGCGGTGAGGGACGTGGTGTCACTCCTCCGAGACCTTATCCAAGTCGAGACATCTAGACCATGGCATCACCAAAAAGTGACATGGCAGTTCTACCATCGCGGTGACTTTTGGATTTTTTCCCTCAGATCCAACCTCCACGATCGCTTTCGACATCTTCGAGCGTCCGAGGAGCTGAACGGTCAATTCCTGGCCGCCACGCCGGAAGAAGCGGACTTCGTGGCGCCCTGGCCGCTGCGTGAGTCACCGCGGGGGTTCTCATTGCGTGTGCTCACGCATGTTCCTACACTGCGCGACCAAGGTGTTGGAGCACTGTGTGACCTATGCGTACCATGTGCTTCGCCCCTTGGCTGGTGATTTTTCTGAACGCCATCCAAGAACCATGAAACACCTAATCACCATCCATCAACTGCTTGTTGGATGGTGGAAGCTCTATTGACTCTATTGTTTGGGCGGGGGGCATTTGACCTCGAAAGTTGGTAATTGCTGCGTTCCGGATTCCGGAAGATGAAGATACACTAATTACCCATAAATGCCTGGTACCGCCGGCTTTCCTTTACTGCTGCTCTTCCATGTGAATGTGGCGATATGTGATGATTAGGCTCATCAGGGATTGCGAAGGGTATATAGAAGAGGTTTTTGGGGTGGCAACTTTTGCTCCACGCTCTTCGGCCAGTCTGAAGGTTATGGTGCTGGCTACAACACTGTGAAGCTGACTTGGGAAGCTTTGCGTATTGTCCAGGACTGCGACTGACGGAGTGCAGAAGGATAGTCCAAGTGAGGAAACTGAGGAAACTTGTATCTGTATCTATAGCATGAATGATCCAGAACCTGATCCTACTGCTGACGCAGGTGTGGAAACTTGCTCATCCTTCCCTTCATGCTCGGCTGGGCACGGCAAGACTGTTACAGTAGACTATAGCACCCCAAACGGGCGAAAAAGTTATCTATAATGTGATCTACGTATACTGTAATATGTATAGCCTTTGCCTGGTGCAGTTGCAGGAGTCATACTTGTTGCCTATCATCCATTGGGCTGAGAGCACTCCAGCATATCAGAAGTTCCAGGGCAGGCACGTAGGGGAATTCTGGCTTTTTGTGGTCGTTGCTTGCGATGAAGTGGGGTTTTGGCGTCAGGGGTGGGATGGTTTTGGATGCAAATCTTGCAATATCTTTAGGGTGACTGTTTTTGATGGCAACTTGGGTCGCGAGTGCAGGATGCTTGCTGCTTGCGATTTAGGGCCTCTTAGGTTTGTCAGAAGCTCCCACCTGAGCACAGCACCGGTGTAGCCAACACCGCATTCTGCGCGACATGCACCCTCCCAAGTCGGTCCGAAAGTCCACGTGCTTTCCGAACGGCACGGTGGTGTTTTCGGGGGGTCGTTGGAATAGAAGTGACCGACCTTCCGGTCAGGGTCCCACACCTCTCCGGCCATACGTCTTTGGGTCCGTCACCTCTCGCGTTCGCGAGCTTCGTGGCTCCCGCGAGCGAGCGAGCGGGCGTGTTGGCCAGGAACTTCGTCATCGTGTTTGCCATGGACAAGGGCCGTGCGGACTATCCCATCGCCTCCAGAGCGACTCAACACTGGCATGCCATCACTACAGCGGCTGGACGGCACATGGGGTACATGGAACGGCACGGTTGCGGATGTTGTGGGAGGCTGGAGGAGCCAGGTGGCCATGGGACGGGAAGGTGGTGATTGCAGGTGGGTCCCCCGACGGAATTCCAGTCCAATAGTCGAGTCTACATGCTACGTAGCCGATGGATCGGATCCCAAGAAGTGTCCTGATAACACGACGAAGGGTCCCGTATGTTTAGCTTGGTCAAGGGGCACATCATGGCCACATGGTGCGTCATCCGTTCTGTGACGGCTCCCTGCTATGGCCGTCCGAGAAATGTCTTTGAAGCCAGTAGTCGAAGAGCGAAGACTTATGACAACCTATGACTCACTCCAAGGTGCACACACATCATCACACATCCACAAATCCATGTACTAATCCGTACAAATCCAACATCCCCCATCATGGACTCATAGCAATTCAAAGAAGATAATAAAGAACCCCACACCAATGGGTTGTGGTTTGTTTTCCCTTCTTCCAGGGAGTCAACCGGGTGTTTTCCTGTACTAATACCCCTACGGGGTGTTCAAAAGCATGTCTTGCCTTTGCTGAGCTGGGCCCAGGTGGGCAATGGCACGTCCGAAGCCCAGAGAACTGCTTCTTGGGGGGCGCATGAAGGGATCAGGGTTGCACTGCTCTCAAGACGATGGGTCGCAGTATTTCGATGAAGCTAGGCTTGGTGCTGGATGGAGTAGACCTCGCATCCTTTCCATCAGTCTACTCCAGAAATAGCATTGCAGCCTCCAGAAATGGAATATCTTGAGCTTGTTGCGGTGTGGTCAGGTGTTCCTGGATCTATCGGCCTTCTTCTGTTCAGGTGGCAAGCCTGTAGGTGGCGCAAGAGAAAAGCACGCGGCAAATTACATCAAAGTCGATGCTTCGCCTTAGACTCCATCGCCTTCACTACGAACCCAGACATACATACATACCCATAGTTTCTAGGTATGTATGTTTCCGCAGACATACATACATACCTATCATTTTCCAGGTATGTATGTTTCCCCAGATATACA